TGATAAGTGGTGTCCAACTAAAGACTGAAGGCAGCAGTATCTAGTGGAGGAAAAGGATTTATAACCAACAACAGGACTCTGGGTGAATGGGACTGTGAGGCCCTGGCCTCTAGAGATTAACCCCATGCTTTTATTTCTATTACCTACTACTCACATTTTTAAGTCGTAGTCTTCAGACACAACCAACAGTGACACTGATGCTATCTGACCTTTTTCATGTTACTATTTCTTTTTTACCTGCTACTGTTTCTTCCTCCACTGAGGATGCTGCCTCCTCTTCAGCAGGCTCGTCTGCAGCTGCTTCCTCCTGCACAGCTAAATCTTCAGCAGCTTCCTCCTCTTCTTGTGCTACCTCTTCAGCTGCTTCCTCTGAGGACTCCTCAGAAGTAGCTGCTTCCATTTCTTCTAATACCTCCTCAACCACTTCTTCTAAGGGTGCAGCCTCTTCCTCTGAAGGAGCCGTCTCCTCTTCTTCTGCTGCTACAACTTGAACAGCCTCTTCTGCAGGAGCCCCCTCTTCTTCCTCAGCAGCCTCCTCTTCCACAGCTTCCTCTTCCACAGCTTCCTCTGCCGGAGCAGCCTCTTCCACAGCTTCCTCTGCTGGAGCAGCCTCCTCCACAGCTTCCTCTGCAGGAGCAGCCTCCTCGATAGCTTCCTCTGCTGGAGCAGCCTCCTCCACAGCTTCCTCTGCTGGCTCCTCCACAGCTTCCTCTGCAGGAGTAGCCTCCTCGATAGCTTCCTCTGCAGGAGCAGCCTCCTCCACAGCTTCCTCTGCCGGAGCAGCCTCCTCCACAGCTTCCTCTGCCGGAGCAGCCTCCTCCAAAGCTTCCTCTGCCGGAGCAGCCTCCTCCACAGCTTCTTCTGTAGGAGCACTCTCCTCTGGAACAGTCTCTACAACTGAGGCCAGCTCCTCAAAAGCCGCCTCAACCTCCTCCACTGCCTCATCAGCAGCTTCCTCCTCCACAGCTTGCTCTGCTGCTTCTTCCTCCACCTCTGCTGCTTCTGCTACTTCCTCCACCTCCTCGATAACTTCTTCAGCTGCTGCTACCTCCTCCTCGACTGGAGCAGCCTGCATCAAACAACAGTCAACATTTTTTTAAGGGTTTTTACATTTCTTTCACAAGTTCATTCAGAAGCTGTTTTGCTTCAGTGATGCAGTCAAGCAGCTGAAAAGCTTTTTAAATGGAAACAACCACTGAAGTCTACAGATTCAGGAAAAGTGAAATTAGTGAGAAATTAACAAGAATATCATGATGGACTTTTCCCGACCAACATTCAACTCTTACACCAAAGCATAGAAGCTGCAGGCAGGTAGTGTCAACTGAACAAATGAGGCTTGTTAGCTAAGTAACAGTTGTACACAATACCAGCTCCATAGAAAATAAACAAAAATGTTTAAGTGCCTCCAGCAAAACTAGAATACAGATGACTCTGTCAGTACTGAGACTTCTGGTCAGACCATTTACAAAGCTGTTTTAATTCTTTCACAAATGTTGAGAAATGTGAGGTTGTCATAAGAGCAGGAAGACAAAATACTTTTATTTACAACACCTGACCGAACACACTGAGATAAAGACAATTCAGTTTGCCAGAAGAGCAAAGGGCACAATGATGCAATTCATGATAAATTACATACCTCATCTGCAGCCTCCTCTTCCACAGCTTCAGGTTCCTCTGCTAGCACCTCTGGATCCTCCTCAATAACCTGAATCAAGAAAACATCCCATGAGTTTTTGAAAGAATATAAATTGAGGACTTTTCTGTTAACCATGTAACCCATTAAGATCTACAGGTATCGTTTATAGTCCTGGCTGATTTAAGAACCGCTTTATTGAGATTTTATCAATTGATATGACGCTACCTATGATGGTATGAAACTACGGCGAAGAAATTCCATCTGTTAAGCACACGATCTTGCTTTTAGAAGTTCCATCAAAAGACCTCCAAAGCCCACACTGAAAAGTATTTTAAAATGCAATGCTCAAAATGTGAGCACGCCGATATACAACGACCAAAAGGATTAAAAACATATCTGTACAAACCTCAGCAGTCTCTTCAGGTTCTGGTTCTGGTTCTGGTTCAGGTTCAGGTTCTGGTTCAGCCTCAGTTGCTGCCTCAGGTTCAGGCTCTGGACACAGAAGCACAGAGGTTTATATAACAGAGTTTAGGGAGTCTATGATGCAGGAGGCGTTTGTTAATGGGCTGGTTTCATATCTTTAACTGCAGCTTCAGTTTTAATCTGCCTACTAACACCTTCCCTGCCACTGTTTGATTTACTGTCTGCCTTATGCTTGATGAAAAGCCCACTACACAATCATCAAATGAAAGGCACATGAATACACACCTGGTGGTGTTGAAGCTGTGCGGTCGGCTTCAGCAGCTTCCAGCACTTCTTCAACAAGCACGGGCTCAGGCTCAAGAAAAGCTACAACAAGAAGGAAGATGAACAAATGAGCATTAAATCTTTGAAATGAAAATGTTTCCTTCCCCAATTTTAGAATTCACTTTTTTTTTGTGGGGTTGGTGGAGGAGGCAAAGAATCAAAGACCACAATAATCAGCTTTTCAACTTTCCATGAATCCTACAGAACACTTCATTCATTCTTTGCATCTTTGAATCAAGCTGTGGTCCAACTCTGTGTGATACTGTGTCAGTATCTTTGTTTATCACTTCAAAGTCTCACAAAAAGAACAATGCGGTGGTCCACTTGGAGAAAATTCTCAATCTAATTATAAACAACCCAGTTTCCAAAAAGTGTGGCCTCTTGTAAAATGTTTAGACAGATTTGTGATGATTTGTAAAACTTTGAATTCACATTTTAAATTTGATGCCAGCAACACATTTCAAAAGGAGTTGGGACAGTGGTAACGAGACTGGAGTAGTTGGTCAATCTCACCGTTCAGTGAACTGGAAACAGATAAGAGTAACATGTCACTTTAAGAAAGTGAGACTTTGACAAATTTGTAGAATCTAGAGATGAAAGATTCAGAAAATCGGAGGAAACCTTTGCATGTAGGGCAAGCGCAGGAACCAGGGGTATCATTTTGGATGGGGCAGTTCATTTTCTAACTGAAAAGACTAGAAAAGCGCTATACAAACTTCTAATCCATGTACCATTTGAAATGGACAGAGGTGAAGTGGGAAAACGTTCCTGAGGTCTGACAAGTTGAACGCCAAATTCTTCATGGCTAAAGAGAAGAGGAACCATCTGGAGTGTAATCTGTTCACAGTTCAAAGGCCGGCATATGTGATGTACAGGGAGTGCTTTAGTACACATAGAATAGGTAACCTGCACTTTTGTGATTGCCTGATTAATGCTTAACCTACATGGAGCGACATGTGCTGCCTAGTAGAACACTTCTTCTCCAGGGAAGGCCTTGCTTATTTCAGTAATACAATGCGAAACAACTATTTTTGGTTTAGGATAGGATAGGATAGTACTTTATTGATCCCCAGAGGGGAAATAAAAACGGGGGGTATATACAGTACAAAAATGAATGTTGAAGTTAACTGGGGGGAATTGAGAATTGAGACAGCAGTTTAGCAGATATTGAAATGTTAAATAAAACAAAGGAGAGCCTAAGTGATGAACACTCAGAGTCAGTTGCACCACCATTGCTGACTTGAGCCAAGTCAGTCTTAACTTGGAGTTCAAAGTCCAAACTGACCGTCACACTGGTTGCACAACCAGGGGCTTAAGCCTTCTCACTAAGACTCGTCGTAAATATTGCACCTGGTCAGGAGGAGGCAACGACATTAGACACTTCAATTAGAACTGTTAATGAAGGTCTACAAACTTTAGGTTAGGTGAAGAGCTCACAGGACCAGCATCACTAAAACCAACGCTTCCAGCACTGAAGCTGTCCATGGTGCTGACCCAATAGGTCCGTTTCCATCTGAAGACCCTGAAGTCTTTGATTTCTGCAGGAGCTTGAAGTCTGCTTACAGGTGTGTGCGTAGTGCATTTGTGAGCACAGCAAAAAGGTTATAAAAGGCTAAACATCAAGATCCAGAGTAGTCTAAGTTAAGACCAGTTGATGCAACCGGACCCTGAATCCTACATTCAGCAAGCATAGTAACACATTTCACTTTCAAAATGGCAGAAATTGGTCTCCTCAGTTCTCAAATGCTTACCGAGAGTTGTTCAAAGAAGAGGTGTTGGGACAGGGTGGTCAACACGCCCCTGTCCCAACCTTTTTGAAATTTGTTGCCGACGTCAATGGGAAAACCATTTTCCAAAACAATTACATTTTCTGTATGTAAATTGTATTAATACTTCAAATTAATTAAGAGGTTTCAATGTTTTTCTAATCATCATTTTCTGTTTTGATTTACATTCAGCACAGCATCCTAACTTAACAGGTTCTTATGATGACGCTGGAGGGAAATTTTCAAAGTAACAGAGTGTATATCAAAGATTGTTGGTACCTTCAGGTGATGGTTCAGGTGTCTCCACGGGGGCAGCTTCACGACGGGAAGTGACGACAACAGCCTTCTCTTTCAGTCCTATATGAGATGATGCACAAGTTGATGGCAAGAAATGTGTGTTGTGTAGTAAACACACAGGACATGTACATCTAGGTGTGTGCGAGAGTATAGGATAATAAGACCATAATCAAGCACATAATCAGAAGTATCAGCCCATTGATACCATTTATTGTTATCATAGTCTAAGAGTCCAGACATCTAGCATTTTCTTTCCTGGAAAGTGTCAAAAGAATCACTCTTCACAAGGCCCTGTAATAAAAACTGTTCTGCATGTTAAGTCATGATAACATTGGTAATAACATGAAACCAGGCATGGGTGTTCTTTTGCTGACTTACAAGTTTCTCATAAGATTTTGAGGCTCAGTGGTACTTTCTGAAAGGCTGATAAAACCATCAAGTTTGGAGCAAACACAGATGGTTGTTAATGTGATCCTTTTTTTGGTTTACCTTCCAAGTACACGAGATCTAATCAAACCAGAGACCGACACACATGCTAAAAAAAACAGCACTTGCACAGATCAGGACACTTTATTGACAGAATATGTGACACAAAAATGACTAAATTAAGAAGAAAAATTAGCATCTAATACTTCAACTATTTTGAAAAAAAGATCAAAGCACATCAGTTAACATGTAAATGAACTCTGAAGAACATGTGATACATTTGAACACTTTTAATCTATTTCAATTAAATTAAATCTAATCTCAATTAGATCTGCAGGAGTTCTCATTGAAGGATTGGAAAGTCTGATGAAGAGCATGTTGGCTGGAAAAGTCACTTTTCCTTCAACGGGAGCTCCCTGGTGTGCAGATTATTTTTGCTTATTTGTACCTTTGCGTTTCTGGATTCAGACCGCACTTTGGGGGATGTGCTGGTCTTTCTTAATTTGCATTTTTTTTGGTGGTTTCAGTCTTGTAAGAATCTCTTTTGCTGGTAGCACTTGCATTGAAGCAGCGAGCTCATGAGCTCCGTCATTCGGTCGAAAAACAAAAGTAGCTATGATGTTGAATAGATGTTGAAGTGTTTGTAAGGAGAAAGGATGAAAAAGTTCAACAGCACATTGATTTGAGAAAAAAGACTAGAAGCCAAAGATGACGTTGACTGTCCATAAACAAGCTAAACAAAAACTGAAAAAACTAAAAAGGTTAAGAAAAGGCAGATGATTGATTAGTATTTTCAAGAAGGAAATAGTGAACTAGAAAATCTAACTATTTCATGAATAGAAACTTGTTTCAATGGACAAACGATTGGTGCCAAAGTAATGCTAAACACCTGATGCTCAGGCTGAAAATGGAGAACGCTGCCTTCCTTATAGCCGATTAAATCTTACTTCTTTTTAACACCTTCGGATTTCTCTTTGCTTTTCTTTCTTTTTTCTTTGGTGGACTCTGACCCCTTCTCTCCATCTTCCTTTATTGCTTTCTTTCCCTCTCCCTCCAACTTCTCCTCTTTCTCCCCTACTTTCATTGGCTTTTTGTCCCCAACCTTGCTCACGTCTTTCTTTTTGTCATCCACTTGGTTTGTTTTTTCCTTCTTTAGTTTCTCCATTTCTTCCTTTTCCATCTTCTCCTCTTCCTCTTTCAGTCTGGCGGCCACTCTTTCCTTCACCTTACTTGAAATGTCCTTCCTCCCCAGCTCAAGCTCCTTCTCCTCCGCCTCTTTGGCCAGAATCTCTCTGACCTCAGCCAGAGCCAACTTGGCAAGTTTCTTGGCCTCCACACGTTCATGGATGATGGCCAGCTGTTGCTTTAAAGCCTCCCGCAGCTTCCAGCCCACATCTTTGGTTGGAGAGGGTTCTGAGATGAATGAGCAACAACACTGTTTTGGTGTTTTAACCACTTGTAACAGTGAGTTGTTATAGGATGCGTAGATCATGCGAAAATTCAATCTGTTATGCAGCAGCACCAAACATTAGACAGGCATGTCTAATTGATCCACATTCCAAGTTCCATGCCATTGTCATCCTACACTACGTAATCTACACTTTGTTTTAAACTATGTAAAACATGATCTACACAAACTTCTTTTTAAAAAAATCCTCATGTTTAAGACAACTTCACTATTCAATCACACACATACAAGGCCAACAATGATTAAATCTGACCAACCCATTCCAAGCAGGTTAAGAACATAATAAAAACCAGAAGGTTTTGATGATGTAATCAAAGCAATATCAGTCGAGAGGAGGAGCCATGAGTTCCAATTAGTCAAGCCTTCACTGCAACACATCACCTTCATGCAAGTTGTTGCATGATGATACCTGTCTTAGGTCCTGTCCTAGCTGAGTCTCCAGGTTTCTCATCTGATGTTGCACACAAACGAGACACGAGTTACAACACTGGTAGTCTTTGAATGTCTGATTCTAAGTCATTGTTACAAACCGGGAATTGATAGTTCCACCCATGTAGTGATGGTTCCACGCACACAATCATTTATTTCTAGTGTCCAATATCAGCTACACACTAAAAAGCCATTCGTTACACTGCTACACACAACCAGGTCAACAGGAAATAATTTAAGCTGAAGTAAAACACCCTGACCTTTTGTTGCAGAAGCAACTTCTCCCTACTTAAGTGAGATCTGAGCACGCTCATATATCAAGAGGAGATAAAAACCAATCTTAAGGTCTGGTATAAACCAATTTTACAGTAGACCGTTTGATTGGCACACCTTGACAAACACAGGTGAAACATTTTTGGGCTTAATGCCATCAGAACCATCAAACATAAAACCACAACCCTGGGTCTGGCTCATGTTCAGAAATGCAGCCATGTTTTGATGTAATCAGTGACACCTATGCTCATTATGCTCATCATTATACAGCATTGAAATATGGATTCAGATAACTGACACATTTGTGTGAGCAGTTACACGATTAATTTAAAGCTTTTATCAGTTTTTGTTAAATCTAATATGCATCATAAAGTGACAGTTTCCAACCAATCACAACAACCAGCCTGTATGAAAGTCTAATTTAATCTTCTCACGTAACTTAAATTGCAGCTGGAGGCATAGCATATTCTTGATATGTATAAGATAATCAGTTGGGTTTTTTTCATGGAGTGTGTGCCCACTACGAGATTAGTCCAGAACTTAAAATCAAAATAACCTTATAGTGAACAATGTAATATCATTCAGAATTAAAATGTCCACCCCTCTCTCAGTAGTTTTGTGCTTCACTAATTCTTCAATAAATAGCCCAAGATGGTTTCTCTCTTCCCCAGAGCAGGAAGAACCTGTTTTCAAAGTGGGTGTCATCAATGCCTTTAAAACCGCTAACAAGTTGAATGCAAGCCAGTCAAACAAACAAACACACCCACACAAACACACCCCCTGGACAAATGTCTAAGTCAACAGACCTGCTGTTGGTTTCAGTCTTCTCTGCTTGTAGCAACAATAACTAAACTCAAGCACTCTGAATTAAACATGTCTCTTCTCTAAATCACGTCAAAACCTGCAAACAAAGAAAGTGTGCTGAATAAAAACAGCATGCTTTCATCTGACAGTTCACTTTTCTCTCAGCTCAGACAGTCACAAAACAAAAATTTATGAATGTTTGAGGCCCCGTGTCCACCCATAATCTTTTAACTCAGCGTCTTCTTTTCAACAGGTAGAGAGCATTCGCAGCAGAAAGCAGCCGTTCAGAGCGCTCAAGTTGAAAATATTTCAACTTTTCAGAAATGCACTGTTGACGTAACTGCCGCTCTTTTCTAAATTTATGACGTTCCAGGTATTTTAGCCTCCTACAGATTGTGTCTTCTACCCAAATCTGGGGTAAAAAAACCCAATATTAAATATAAAACATTTATAGAGAAAGGATAACGTTTCAAGTCTGTTCGCCAGTATGCTAAACCTGTGCTAAGATGCTAACACAGAACAAGCAGAACTGTGTAGACACATTACAACCAAATAATAGTAAAGTATACGGGGATCTATGTCCATCTATGGAAAAGGGGTGATTGGTTACACTTTCAGGAAAGTTCTGTAGATTGGCCAAAAGTAGAAGGAAATGGTGCAAGGATTGGTTACATTTATGATTTCATTACAACTTCCTGGAGGGACTCATTCATTCTAATGGGTTGCTAAACGGTTTTACCTAGATCCCCTGTTAAACGAGCCAATAAGCTCAGAGCAAAGTCGGCTGGACAGTTCAGTTACCAACTCCAAGCTGTATGACATGAGACCATAATGTTAGTGAAGCTGAATTTTTACTATATTTGGAATTTGGGGAAATTGAAATGACCCTGTGACTGTCATCAAGTAACTACACGTGGACATCTGACAGCCAAATAAGAGACTTTAGGGAATGGGCAGATAATAAAACAGACACCTCACAGTGCTAACAGCTATCTGTGCCCTTGTGTCCCAAGGGACTAGTCATCATCTGTGTCCACGTCCACTTTGGATACAACAAGCCTCTTTAAAAGTCATCGTTGAAAGTAGAGACTTTCTAGCAGGGAGCAGGAAGAGCCTGACTCAGACACCTGAACGAGCTATGAATATTTGAAGACTGTATCAATGCGACATCATGTTAGAATTCTTCTTTCCATTTGAGATCCATCCTAGAAACCTTAATGATGTGGTCTGGATGTTCAGAAAGCATTCAAGTGCAGTGCATGTTGGGTATATTTACACACTTTTATCCTTATCAAGGTACAGACCACAAGTTATAAATACAGTAAAACAACAATACACTTAAATTTAACAGAGGATTCAATAAGTAAGAAATCGTGCTTATTATCTTATATTCTAGTGTAAATATCTTACATGTAGCTACAGGAAAAGACAACATGTCGGCGAGCAGCTGAGAAAGTGCAAATCATCTTAGCATTTTGTGTTATTCAATGTTGCTGGCTTTTCCAACTTTGTGCTAAAAACAATGTTATAAAAGATTCTACAAAAGAGTTTAAATACAGTATTTCTGAAGTGTTCCTGAGTTTCTTGTCCATACAACCATGTCCATTTGAGTAAAGGAATTGACATCATGGAAAACTTTTTTTAAAAAAAAGGACATCTCTGTCCGATGTGAAGAGATTCCAGTAGTTAGAGCCTGGGATGGATTGGCCATATAACAACATCAGAGAGGAGATATTCAAACCTAAAGCTCCTGGCTTGGTTAAGTTTCCAATACCTGCCAAAGACAGTTCATCCTGTAAAAACTGTTCCCAACACTTTGGCTGTTGGATTTATAGGCATCTGAAGGAGATTTGGATGCAGCAGTTGTACTGTGGCTATTGGTTCTGAAGGCCGACTATGACTATCTTCTGGCCCTGAGATCCATCATCTTTGGTGTCTCTTCTTCTGACCCTGTCCTCATCTTCGTCCTCCTCGTCCTCCTCCCGCGCCTCCAGGTCTCCTCCTGAGTAACTGCGCTCATCCTCCTCCAAGTACTCCAGGGGGTTAATCAGACCGTATAGGAATGTGAAGAAACCGTTCAACCAATCAGTTCCGCTCTCCTCCACTTCTTCTAACCAATCCAGAACCTCCGATTCACCCTGACCATCGCCCTTACTGGTCAGGCCTACGCAAACAAGAGGGGATGAGGGATGGAGGCGAAGGGTGATGAAGGGGAGGTTTGGGAGCACGATGTTTGGAAGTGACGGAGATGGAACAGTGTGGAAAAAGGATGTGGGAAAAAATTCAAGAAGGCAGGAAAAAGGGGAAGAAAATAATGGCAAAAATAAAGATGAAATGAAGCAGGGTTGAGAGCAGAAGGGAAAGAAATAAGAGGAGAAGGTAAGAGAAGTTTAAGCGCAGGTTAGGCAGCTAGGGAACTACTCAGGCTTTTATGTCAGTGACTAAAGTCAGGCTGTCTACACATGATAACCAACAAATACATGGTGCCGTCCTGAGCCACTTGTGAAAATCTGTAATTTTATATTAGAATGTCTATAGAACCATAATTGATCAGCTCTCGTTACTGACGATATACCCACTACAGAGTTTAGCTCACTTATCATATGGAGACAGCCCTAGACTGAAAAAAGGAAGAAACCATTTCCTTTCAAATCCATACAAAAATAGCATTATGAAATGTTTGTTCTCCTCAAAATGAGTAAAGTAGATTGAACTGTTCGATTTAGCTGCAGCATTGCCCTGTCGTTACCCAAGATGTTTTTTTTTTACAGGAGCATGTATAGACAAACCTAATCACTAAAAAGGGCGCAAATCTCCAGTTTCATCAAGTTGGGATACTTGCCGTCTTACATGAGACAAAAGAGAGCGACACAGACAGACAGAGATCCCCCCCCCCTCGCTGACATTATATCGCAATTTTTACATCCCATTAATTAACACATTTCTGATTTCTCTCAGATTGTTGGGTGTGAAAGTCTTCTGTAAAAACGCTTATGACGTCACAGTTTGGATGCCAGGGAAAACAACCTTTTTGAAAGATGTATTGTTTAGCTTCTTATGCCTTCATGAGAGAAACAGAACAGTGAATAGAGTCAGGGACAGAGTGAGGGGGTAAGGTGATGTGGGAGAGAAGCCGAATGTCGTCCCGTAGACCTACAACACAGGCGGTGCGCAAACCAACTGTCAGGCCGCAACTCAAGAATGGATTTTTTATAAATTCTTCAATGAAATTTCCCAGTTCAAGTGAAGCAACTTTTTTTAATCTTAGCCCTATAGCATAGTGACCCTAACTTTAGTACGCCGTTCAAAACGTAACACATGTCCTTTCCAAGTCACTTGACTTTTCACTCAATTCCGCTACAAGCTACGTTGAATAAGCTAGCTCCAGGCTACAGAATATTACATACATGTGGACATTACTTTGATGATCATCTGACCACAACTAAAACTTGGTTACTTTTATTTGTGCAGTTGGCTGTGCGATCCCCTGAGTAGCCGCAATGCATTATGGGATGGTTTGAGTATGATGAGTGAACTCCAGGATGCTAAAATATTATGGCCAATCTGTTGAACACCTTTGCAGTTATTGCCTAATATGAACTCATAACACACTACATACTCAATGTGACATCATGCTTAGTATGAATATTAAGCATATGAGACGGGCTGCCAAGAGAATCCATATTGTCTGTTTAACTTATTCATGGTTTGCAATGAATGATGCTCAATCCCTCACATACCTGATGTCATGAGAAGGATGTCAAAAAGCACACAAAGCAGAGAAACACACAAACACACTGATGTCTGCTGGTTAAAAATCTAAAGTAAAGTAAACTCCTATTATTGGAGACGCCTCTAAACTGCAAGTTCTCTAATCTGTAAACCAATCTACTGTCATTTAGAAGTCTAGAAACCGATTGAAACTCACTATACACAGCTCCCCTGGAGTAGTTTACACAGCAAGCTGCACTTTACTTCTGCCTGTATTATGTCAGTCGGTAAATACCGTTTCAGACATACGTCCTAAGTTACAAAAAAAAAAAAGGAGCGCCGCAACGGGCAACTTTATAAAACTCAATGTGAATGGATAATTTCACTAACCAGACGTAAACAAGAAGAGGTGAATGAAAGAGGCTGCGCAGACAAAACAAAGCAAGTTGAGCAGATGAGAGTGGGGATTTCTGTTAACGCCTCTTTGAACGTTTCTGTGAGAACATAACTGCCAGAACTAGTTTTAACAGTAGACGGTAAATATCTAAATCTAAAACTAAGTCAAGCAGGGGGGTTTGCGTAGACTTTAAATGGTGGACTATCAACCCACGTGAAACAAGTTTATGTATTATTTTTTGGATTGAAAATTGAACACAGTTTGAAGAAATTCACACCATGCTATAGTAACACTACCATCTGTGGGAAACAAGTCAGCTCGACAAGTGTAAGTCATGCAAAAGAAACCCCAAATTGCCATTCAATTCAAATATTAGAAAAACACATTTATGATTCTGTGACATTGGTCGCCTGCAGAAAGAGTCAACTCATAATATCTGTTCTGACAGAGTCATGAGTCAGAAGATGAGAAACCATGTCAATAAAAGTAATTAAAAGGGAAAATACTCCGATGTTCGTTGATGCTTCACTTTCTGCAAGCAACTAATATCAAACAACTGACATTAGCTGTAAATTAGAGGTAGATTAACTTGCCTAGCAGAACTTTAGCATCCTCGACATCAAAATCACCATCGCCATCTGTATCGTATGCCACCAGTTTACCTACAGCAGCAACAAACACACATGTAGGCTTAGTGTTTCTCAGTACTACAAGGACACACTGATCACTGTACATTTACATGCATCGTTTAACATGACAGACGGTTAAAGAAATGCACCAAGCAAGCAAGTGACAGGTCACTAATGACCAGATATTACAGTGTGTTAATGTCTTTGAATGAGCAAACTCATCTTTAATTCAAACTAAGGAATTATGCTCTTTATTCAAATGAGTCACAATGAGCTGGAGGCTTGGTGAATTCCTTTAGCTGAAATCCAGTATTTATTTTAACCTGGGCCCGGTCTTAACATGTTGGTATTCATAGTTGTCCAGTAGGTTCACAAAGTCTCAGAGTTGGTCCAGTAGATCACCTGACATGGCTTTTATAGCAGCAACTTAAGTCTTTTGGGGGCAAATGCGTAAGAGCAGAAGTTCACATTAAGTAATTGTTTTTGTCACTGCTGGGATCAAACTGTTCAACCACATCAAGTAAGAACATCTCAACAAAGAAATAGCGGGACGTTTTCTAAAAACCAGACGAAACAGAACAATTTAGGTTGATTCTGAGAAACTTTTGTGAAATCTCTGAGAAGTCATAAGCCCCGTTTCCACCAAGCAGTTCAGTTCAGTTCGTCACGCATTTTGTGACGTCCACTATCAAAAGTCGGGAAAGGTCCCCAAATTACCATCCCATACCGTCCTACTTTTTGCTACCCTTCTGTTGGGGTGCCAAGTCTACCGATCCGACCCTAAAAGCTGGAGCTAAACACGGCCGTCCGTTGATTGGTCGCAAGGATCATCACTTCCTGTTTGACAGTGGTAATAAAGGATGGCTGTATTTTTCCTCGCGGCCACATCTGAAACAAAGCTTCATTGCTTTTTGTAACAAAGAACCAAAAGCCGATGAGAAAGATCACAAACTGCTGGATGTCCTCCATTGTTGCTTGTTGTTTACTGTGTCGCGTTCTTCTTCGTTGAATTTATTAGTGGGGTATACTGTGTCGCACTGCTATGATGTCACGCTATTACGTAGCTGACGTGGCTATCAGCATCCAGCTTACACGCCGCCTACCAAAAAAAGAGTACGGTAACTATGGTTGGCTGTGGAAACGCAAACAGGATCAGGCTTTACCGAACCCAACTGTACTGAGCCATACCGGACCACTCTGTGGAAACGGGGCTATAAAGGTCTTGACAAGAGAGCCTATGGTCTGCTCTGGTGAAGATGAAAATTTACAGATTCCACCTTTCCTGGTCAATAACTCGCATAGCAGAACGTGCCAACTCTTTCCAACCATATTAAAGTAGACATCCAGCTGGACAACTTACAAGGGCCTCAATTCACAGCAAACTGTGATCGAGTACCACGACATTGTCTGCAAAGTGTGATACGGAACAACGATGCATTGGAAATCTTTGAGTTTGTTGTTCACATATTCACCCAACAGGCTGGTGTTTTTCACGAGGCCAGGCATGACAGAGAAGACTCTGCTACAGACACTATAATGAGAATATTTGATTTTTAAAGCAATGCTACACGTAGTTCCACATTTCATGGAATCAACAAAAGAGCTGAGAATGACCAGAAAACAGAACAAAGCTGTTTAATTAAACGCATGAGATCGATAGCTAGACTGTCTATGATCGCAGGATATAAACGCCATCACCCCCCTCCTAGTGTTCTCACATCAGCCTCACTTCACCTGGCAAATGCTTTCAGTGAGCTTGTAGGAAGAGTTATGGTTTAAGTTTTGACGAAGAATTCAGCCGTTTGCGTTCACATACTCAGCTCGCCCCGAGTTCTGCGCTTATTTGAAAAGGGCTTTAACATTCTTACATTTTCACTGGCCAAAAAAAAAAGTGAAAGATATTTGGGAAAAGGAATTGTAGAGCAACAATACTATCTACACTGCCCAATTAATCTACTTGACCAATTCAAAAGAGTGAACATACTGGTTTATTACACATGTTTAAACAGATTAACGAGGGCACAGGTTAAAAGAAGGGCTAAAATAGGGGACAGTGGGGAAAGGGGGGATGGA